CCAGTACAGGTTTTCGCCGTCCTATGATGCTGTGGACGGGCGCCGCCTGCCTGAACGCCGCAGATCCAGTCAAAACTCCAAGAACTCATTAGTGCAGGTATCTGCCGCCCTACGATGTCGAAGAGGACGCTTCTTGCCAGATGCCCGTAGATCCTGACAAAGATTACGATGACGTCTGTACGAGCGCGCAGCTGAGAAGGACCTGGACGGAGATCATTGGGCGAATAGGCCGCCGAGTTTGAGCTGTACACGGACTAAGAGGAAGTCTGGGCGAATCCGACTCAAGGAGGACCTGCCAAGACCTTCGAGGACGTTAGGATGTCGAGGACGAACGATTCCCAGGGACCAGAACGAGGAGGACGACACAGAACGAGCAGCCACGGAGATGCACCAAGGATACCGCACCCGAGATTGAGGACGAGCAAGTTAGGACCAGCCAGGTTGGGTCACCCTTGAGGAAAGTCTAGATCGCCTCAAGGACGAGTAGGTGGCCGAGCAATATACAATATACTGGGTACAGGCCATGTGGCAGACCCACGCTTGTACGCCATGTTGCGTCCTCAAGCCACGCCAGCATCGCAGGGTGCTCCACCTACCCTCGTCCCCAAGCCAACGCTCAGATATTTAACCCAATGGTGCCGGGGAAAATGAACAAAAAATGAGGAAAATATTGTGCCCACTTTCTATGTTTTTCGTGAAATGTCTGCCGATAGATGGCTCTGCTAGCGCCTGATTTAGATGGCGGGAAAAACGTATTTTTCACCAGTGATATGAAAATCGATGGTTTTATTTTCATCATCAACATTATAATTTTTATAATTTTTTTTTTTAACATTAGTAACAGCAAAATAAGATTACGTAAAATATTTTGTAAATCAAAGAAACGGATAAACAGGCGAGACGGGCGGTGCTCGTAACTGGCTCATTGGTGATTTAGTACAAGTGTTGCCATCTATGCGTAGAAACAATCAAACAAGTACTCACTGTGGGCATAGCACGTACGTACACGTCATACCCGGCACCAAGGGGTTAAGGCCTGCATGTGACCCCTGTAGACAGAGTGTACTGTGCCGCGTTCGAGGTCACATCTGCCCGCTGGCCCGAGCTCGCCCGTGACTAGCCCTTAACCCAAGACTTGTCTCGTGTTTATCCACCCGTGTGCTGAACTCTTAACAATAAAGAGATTTAGCCACTCAAGCTTTTACTATCCTGTCACCAATGTTTAGAGGTTCAATCTATAACCCTTTACAGTGTGTGTGTGTGTGTATTTATATATATATACATATACAATGTTTATGTATGTATATATATTTATATATATATATATATATATATACAAGTATATAAATATATATATATATCTATATGTACGTATATATATATATATATATATATATATATATATATATATATATATATATACGTATATATATATATATATATA